TGCCCAGGTTGATTCCCGTATTCCTCCACTTCGCGGTGCCACCTTCGGGCAGCATCGCAAAGGTGAGGTCTGGATTTGTATCCCGAGCAACCGATGTTCCGATCCTTGATGGTTGGGCTGGATTGATCAGTAACGTGAACTCGGCTTCGCCGGCATCTTCAAGAAGGTTCCTTCCCTTGGACGTGGTGGTCGTGTAGCCGAGCTCTCGATGTTGCGCGTTGAAATCACCGCATATTACCGCGGCAGCGTCTCCTCTTTTGGCCAGGTCTTTCTGTGCTGGACTTGGAGTGAGTGATTCTCGGAAGAGTATCATTCAGACTTTTGTTCCAAGGACTTTGGACTGAATATGTTTTCTATCTCTTAGTCCTTAAGTATCTTGGTTGTTCAATGCATGCGACTGCATTGTAGTGCGTATTGTTGTCTGTGTCCGTTGTTTTGAGTGTGGCCGATTGTACCGTGTAGTACGTCGTTTGTTTGGTGACGTATTGTATGTAACTATTGTGGAGTGTGCATTCTTGTGTTTGTTTTCGATCTGCCATTTTTGAGAATATAGCATTTGTTTTGTTTATCAACTCTCGGCTCCGACTTGTTCTTTGGGCCACAGCCGGCGTCCGCTGGCGCACCAATAAGGACCACTTCTAAATTGTCCACGCTTTCGTGGTGCGGTTCGGAGGGCCAATACTTCGGCCCTTGGAATTAGCCCGGCGATCGCCTCCCTAATTAACGGGACAGGTGAGACACTGGCATACAACTGTAGTTGTCCCTGTGTTTAAGAGTGGTGATCGGTTGTCCGCTAAGAATTACCATCCCGTATCGCTCACATCTATCTGCTGCAAAATATTGGAACATATCATTGTCAAGCATGTCATCACATTTCTAGAAAATAAAAATTACTTTTATCCTTATCAGCATGGCTTTAAAAGTAAAGTTTTGACTACAACACAGCTTATCTAAACTATTCATGACTTAGCGACAGCTTTAGATATAAATGAACAAATTGATGTCATCTGCATAGATTTCGCTAAGTCCTTCGATAAGGTTCCTTACGACAGATTGCTGTATAAGCTTCACTGCGCTGGACTAAGTCAACTTTTACTTAATTGGATTAAAGCCTACCTAAATGACAGGAAGTGATTCGTGAAAATTGATAACTCTATGTCTAGCTCACTAGAAGTGTTTTCTGGGGTTCCACAAGGCTCGGTACTTGGGCCCTTATTGTTTCTGATCAAGTAAATGATATCGCAAAACCCCATGTTAAGCTTAAACTGTTTGCTGATGATTGTTTAATTTACGCTCAAGCGACTGGTAGGAAGAACCAATTGAACATTGTCGAATGTCTAAAGGAATTACACTCATGGTGGGAAGCTGCGGTAATAGAAATCAGTTATTCGAAATCTACCGTCACCCACATTTCTAGGGAAAAAAAACGATAATTCCATTTAAATACTGTATCGGGAAATCACACGTTGTTGACAGTTAATGCGTTTAAGTACCTATAGGTCTCACAATAACGCATAACCTAAAGTGGCGCACACATATTGATAATGTTTGCTCTATATAGGGCCTCACAAAAATTGTACATATTAAGAAAAAAGCTGCAGGGTGCTAGTATGGACGTGAAACTTCTTGCTTTTAAAACTTTCATACGGCCGATACTGGAATATGCCAGCATTGTCTGGAGTGCCCACCATAAAGTGCTTGTAAATAAACTTGAACGCATACGATGGCTTGCAGCTCGCTTTATATGCTCGAGATATAAGCACAATGACTCAGTCACAAAAATGCTACAATTATGTGATCGGGAGACGCTCCACAAGCGCGGACGCAAAAATACATTAAAGTTTCTTTTTCAATTATTATAAGGTGAATTTAAAATAAACGGAAATGACTACATAGAACAACTTGGGAAACGAAGCGAGAGGGCAAACCATACACGAGTACTGCAACCTTATTTTGCACGAACGAAGGCGTACCGTCATACTTTCTTCCCCGATGTAATTGAAGATTGGAATCGGTTACCGAGTAACATAGTCAATGCGGGTGATGTTAATGAATTTGTGCATTTACTTGATTTACATTTATATGATTTATTGTAAATATTATTACGATTGTTATTCGTTGCATTGCGAATCAGGGTGTGTGTTTTTCGTTTTTCGTTTGGAATGCACAGCTTTCACGGATTTGTATATATGTATACCTGGTTTATCATTGGGAGATGTATAGGTATATCCCCAATTTGTTTGTACAGTGTGTCGTACCTTTCCTGTTATGACCCTCAATAGAGGGTTGACAGTATTTTTAAAATAAAAAATTAATAAAAATAAATTTACATTATATGGGGCAACGCTCGGATACCGTGTACAGTTACCCACCGATACGATACCCAGAGCCTCGCCCACTCGTCATCGTGGACTTCGGGGAGATGCGTGGATTTTCGCTGTGTTCTTTATATGTCCCTGTATCTGTACCAGGAATCTGTCTGCACTGCTCAGTCTATGCTTGTAATACTTTGATTTCTTTTGGATTTTCTGATTTTTTCTATCCTCTTATGCAATGTCTCGCTCGTCCCAGCTAGGCGCAAACTGTCATATCTTTTAAGTGTGGTAGATCTCATAGCGATTGCTTTGCGTGGCTGCTTAAATCTTCTAACTCTATCAGAGGCGTAACCAGAAAGGTTGTTTCGGTGTCAGGACGTGCGACGAAAATTCCTGAGGGCTGCGAATTCCCTCAGCCATTCCTTTGCTACCGTGTTTTTATGAGGACACTGCAGGGAACGAAACAACTAACCATGTGGCTTTATTAAAGAGGATATATGACACCCAGTATTCGTTCAGAACCAGTCTTACTTCGGTTAATGGTTGCGCGCTCGCGAAAAATGCTTACAAAATTTTCGCGCATTTGGTCGAGCACATATTGTATAGTCTAATATTTTTATAAAGATGCGAGCGGCCTATGAATTTGGGAACACTTGCGCGCTCAAAAGCCATGGCATACGGAGATGCTTGCTCTTCACATGTTTATTATGGTGAACGACTTTTTTTTTTTTTTGATGGTCCGCTGCACGTGCAGTCGAGCTGTTTCGGCTTTCTTCAGCATGACATTGAAATTGAACAATTTGCGGTGGCTGAAACATTCGAAAAAAAAAACTCGGCTAGACGCAGCACAAGAGTTCTCTAGCATATTTTGCACTGAAATATTCTTTAAAAGTCCATATTTCACATACGTAAAGGCCCAAAAGACACTCAACTTACACTTCTTACTGAAAAGCGCAAACTGTTTGGTCAGGGTCATGTCCTGGAATTAATATATGATTTTGGTTTGGTGCAGGCTCTATTTCTTTTTAATTATTTTTATCGACGGCGCATACAATACAGCCCCGACATAGAAGGAGTATAGGAAAGGCAGGGAGGTAAACTATAGACTATATCTACTTCAGAGCCCTAAAATTGTTTCGGGCTACGCCACTTCATTCTTGGGTACAATTTATGTAAGCTAGCTTAATAGTTTCTAGACAGCTTGACGAATACGACTTATCATTTCTTAAATATAAATTGGCAAATAAGTTAGCATCAGCTTAATATTACGAGGTCTTCAATAGTATGGAGCAGGACTATGCCTGCATTCTGCATCGCTACAGTGCACACAAAGCGTTGTATCAATGTCATGCGAGCCAATGCGCACGCAATTTCGCTCAGAAACTCGAATACACTGCCCGACTTTTGTGTCAAGAGCACTTCGCTGTATATACTCATACTCGTGTAGCAATATCTACTTGATACTTGCACATTACACGGGAGCGTTCCTTCTTCACACCAGCAATTGCACGTTCGTGCACTGTAAGCGAATAGTTCCCGTGAAATTTACACAACCTCGGCTCATTTAAACCAACATAAGGCATGACGGGCGCAATGCTTTATTTTTTTTTCCTTTGCCACAGCCACTTCGCATCTCGTATTTCATAGAGTCGTGGAGTCCGATATGAAAAGCCACGCATCTGTCACGCAATTCCAGTGAACCTTATTCGCGTATATCCACGTTGGCCGTAAAACCGGCCCTTCGATGATATTATTACAATAATTTTCCTCTCTGCACCAGCCCTTACTTATCGCCCTGTCAGCACCTTAGTCCTGAGAAATCGTCAGAAGGGGCGAAGGGCGAGTATAAATCAAAGGGCTGACCAAGCGAGCACGTGCGCCATATTATACGAATCCAACGCCTGGAGTATTTGCTTCGTCAATAAAGAAAAAAACACACACATACCGAGGCATGTGCACTTCGGAGTAGAGCAAATCCCTTCCATAAATCAAGCTCTTTCTCCCATATAAACATTCTTTTTTTGATGCCGAAAATTCGCGCTCTCGATGCCGCCTACTTTCCTCCCGAAGGCCTCCTTCTCCACAAGGCATTTAGCCAGCGGGAAAAGCAAACGCTCATTCGGAGAGAGCGGTGGTCGCCTACCAAAAAACGAGAACCGGATCGCGTCGTCCAACCAGAAAGCGGCATCGCTGGCAACGTGCGCGCCCTCTTTGGTAAAGAACGCGAAACGCAGACGCCGTCTCGCAAACCGCGGACGGGGCTGGAGAGCGCGGGCCGGCGAGTTTGCGGTGGTCACTCGTTGTGCGCGAAGTTTTTGTTTCCTGGCGTCGTGGTGGTGGTGCATCGGTGCTGTGATCCTAGCGTGTCGGCCGCGGCGTCAGAGATCGGAGGATGCAAACAAGTGGCTCAGCGTTCGGCTGAGAGTCCTGCTTTTTTTTTGACAAGCGAGCCCGGCCGGCAACGCGTCCGTCCGTGGCTTCAAGATGGTCGCTGGTGGCGGCCGGTCGACGACGCCGCCGTTGTTGGGAGCGCAGCGTGCTCTGGATTTCGTCTGATCCGCCACCCCGCGTCGGAGAATTTCGCGGGAGTGACGCAAGCGACACCAGTGTACACTGCCTCGGATTACGGTTGTGCGCGGATATTTAATATTTTTTTTCTGTTGTGAGCGCTCCGGGCGGCTACTTTTGGCGCTTAGTTTGATGAGGTACAGCAGTGCCGTAATATTTGGACTTCGACTGGCCAGTAACCGACACCGGCAGGTAAGCTTGCATTGTTTTGTTCATGTATATATATTAAATAGATCTAACGAGATGGCATCTCGTATTGAAGTTCTAGATACTCCTTCGCTCCTACTACTATACGAAAGCGAGCACTCCGTTTATAAAGCTCGAAGCACTCAGCAGTTCCTTGGTGAACTTCATTGTGTGGCCCACACATGTATGCTTCGATGTTTGCAGCTTATAAGGTACACTCCTACAATTCACGAAAGAAGCGTTGTTTTCACGCTTACGTTTATTCTACATTTTACGTTTAATTGGGCGGCACGCTGCAGAGTCGGGCAGTTCAAACGCAAACCGACGCAAGCTGCCAAAGAAACACTGCAATGTACGGGTCCGGCTCAACTGGTACTTCATAATTTCTTAGTGCGAGAAATTTGTACAGGGTCTAAACGAATACAACAGACGCAAGTGCGAACTCACGGTTGATTTTTTCATGAATCGGGCACATATTTAAAGTGATTACTAGTCATCAGGATAAAGGCATCACTTGCACTCGTGACTGGAAACCTGTAGAGTACCCGGAAAAACGAAGAATTAAGTCCAAAGAAACGTATAATCGACATTCTAGCCATTTATATTCTTTTTCCCTGAGTTTGTTGTGTTGCATTGCTCGTTTTAGATCATGGCGGACAGCGCTGTGCGTTGTATAACCAGTCTGGTCTAGTGTGGAGAACGCGTCTTAATGGCTGCATTACACGAAGGGTGGGCATTTCGACGTGGTGGGCGTCGTGCAACGCGATTAGCAAGCGCGGCACGGACTCCGATTGGCGGGCACTTTCGGTGTAATAGCGCTCGTGCACGGTATAGTTTGCGCACGCTCCGCATCTGCCATGCGGGACAGGTGCGCGGATGCTTTTGCGCGAGATCATCGCACCGGGACCGTGCCCTCAATGCTCTCCTTTCTTCGTGGAGGGCCTCCTAATTGTTCTACTTTAGCGCAGGTCTCATGAAAATATACTCCGAGTGCGTTTTCGGGATCTGTGAGCGCCGCATGTGGTCTGCCTGTTTGATATGTCACCTTGCAAAAACACATGGAGCACTTTCGAGTTATGTTCGTTTAATTGCGGCGTATTGATTTAGAGAAAGTAGAACGGAAAAGTACTCGCAGGTCTTCGGTGCGAATAATAAACAAACAACAGAACTGCTGGTAAAAAAAGTTTCCACACCTTTATGAAGTTTTGGGAGTCTCTACTAAACTAAATGCGATGATTTCGCTGATATATGCATCGGTGAGAATGACAAACTAATAGCCTCCGAAACCTATCAACTATTAGCAAAAATATGTTTCAAAACTATGAAATCCCAATACATGATTCATATTTAGTGATTTCATCATAACACTTCATGATTCCTTTTTACCGAAGCTTTCTGTAGTATAACTAAATGTTGTTGCATTACTCAGGAGGCACTTCTGTTCTTACAATTAGATCCATGCTTAAACAGACAGCAAATTTCTGCAGAAGTATTTGTGTAAAAAAATGACGCGTTTATGTTGCAGCACAACGCATTGCCTTATGGCAAAATTAGGTCGCATAGTACACGGACATTTCGTGACGACACATGTTTTTACGATACTATAAACATTTGCCGTGGTACTTTGTTATAGCAGTACACAGGTGACAGAACGTACTTCTGTTGGCACAACAAAATTATAGGATGCACTGCAGAAACGTGTGTAGTCGCCCCCATAGAAATGCGTTAAAAAAGTCTTACTGTAACAACATAAATTTCGAAAGTGACCAAGGCAAGTTCTGTAGTCACTTCCAACTGGGGAAGTCCCTTCAAATGCACCAGCGCAACCTATGTGACGTACCCGCGGCGCAATTTCGCTATCTGCACTGCACTCATCTCTTGTACTCGAGGTCTTGCGCTTACATTGAAAAATCATCCGACGTCTACGCTGCGAGTGCATCTTTGTACGCTATGCGAGCACTTCGTTATAGTGAATGTTATTGTCATACACACTTCGCTATGTCCGAGATGAGCCTTTTGTTTCGGACGATTATGGTTCTCGCTCGTCGCGCCACTCCATTACGACGGCTCTGCTCCGACTGCCGCACGTTGCTTAATTCGCAGCACTGTGCTCACCGGTCAGGCGGAGCACACCTGCCTTTTTTTCCTTTGAATCCGATACATTATTGCATGAAGTAAACATCTCAAGGAATGAATTAACTGCGAAGGTATTCTTCCTGATTGCTTCTCTCTGATTAGCCGGCCGCCTCAATTAATGAAGAGTCCAACACATTTATTGTCTGACACACGACCGTGTCCGAAAAGTTGTAACGCGAAAACATTTTAGGGGATATTGATGCGATGTCGTCACTGCGCGAAACAAAGGCTTTCCTTTCTTAAACCTCTTTCAGCTTTTATCTGAATACGCAATCAAATACGACAGAGACGAAGGAATAACTGGAGCAAGGAAGCCAATGCGCGTTTTGTGACTGGCGTTACCCGCGGTGATTTACCAGCTGCACATTATATAGCGACTTCTCAGTGGCCGTATATTGAAAAAAAAAACGCCTTGGAACAAATATTTTCGTAGTGTCACGGTGCGAGACATACCGCGACGACGGTTGACAAGTGAGACAACGCTCTTACGAAAAAGTATCACGTTACGTAAACTTTTAGTCTAAAACGCTTTTGCGACTGAGCTGTCCGCAAGCTTCGTGCCTCGGGAGAGTTACTCACATCGAATACCGAATAATCACATAGCTACAGCAGAAAAGTACGACAACGTACTTGCTGCACCCGCGTCCGATAAGGCTCATCGTGTAAAGAACTCACGTTTCCATTCTCGAAACAGTCTACTTGGTTAGTGCTGCAGTGCTTTATACAGTCCCTCTCACTCCGTTCTCATTGATGTCATCTGACGACCTTCGCGAACACATGCACTGGCGAGGCATGCTCGCATACCTCGTGTATGCCTTGCACTGTATTCGTCCCGTGGCGGGAACTCTGCCATAACCGTATTGGTGAATAAGCTATATCGAAGTGGACGGCTCAGGTTGCCGACCGCTCTGGCCAATGCAGTATTTGCCGCTGGGATCGTCACGCATCATAATTACTAAGGACAGCATCCATGGTATCCTTGATGCTGCGGAACTGGTGTCGAGGAATGTGTAGAAACTTGAGTTTTCTTGGTCAAGTGCTGCTCGTATAACGAGTGTATTAGTTCTTTTTTTTTTTCGTGCTCGCGGATATTTAATACAGGGATCATCGTACCCTGACTGTGATTGCTATTTTTATTTCTTTTCATTAATTTTACCCATAAGGTATACGCATTACAGAGGGAAGAGGCATGTTACATATAAAAAATCTGAAACAACGCTTGAAACATCAACCTTTTTGGGATTTGCTCAGCCTTCCTCTACCAGTAACTTCCACGAGCTTAATCTTGCTACCTTGTTTGTACGCACAGATACATTCAAGCATAGTTTCTTTCCCCGAACAATAGAACTATAGAATTCCTTACCTGGTCACATTCGATCACTCCCCATGAATGATTATGTGAGTCTTCTTGTTTACAATGATTTTGTAACAAAAGCTTAATTCCTTTATTGTTATATATGTTTTATTGTTTTTCTGTTGTTACTCATTATGTATCTTTTCTCTTGCGATTTTCTTTTTGCCCTGTAGAACCCCACTCCTCCAATAGACCTTTTACAGGGCTGCAGTATGTAAATTAAATAAATAAAATGAAATAAATAAATATAAAATAAAAGAACGAAACTGGAGCAAATCACAGAATTATACAAAATGATGTTATATATATATATATATATATATATATATATATATATATATATATATATATATATATATATATATATATATATATATATATATATATATATATATATATATATATAACGTATTTTGCAAAAAAATAAATAATCTTAAAACTTGAGGTGTCTGTGATAGCGGTAGGTGATTGTGGCATTACATTCCAGTTGGATGTAGTTCTCGGGATGAACGTATGCGAATACGTTGTAGTTGTTCAGCGAGTAGATGGCCAATTCTATTCTAGGTCATATTCATGGGAGATAGTGGCCAGGTACTCCGTCAGGGTGGCCAGTCCTGCTCTGATGAGGGAGTGCATTACCGGCAGCTGAATAAGGAGGGCTCAACAATGTCTTCACCTAGGTTATCGTTGGGATAATAAAATTGAGCGAAGAGACTGAGCTGGCCTACTTTGCGCCGAATGGTGTAAAATATATACGAACATGAGCTGCGCTCTCCGGAAGACTAATAGAAAGGCTGTGCGTAAGCTCCTTCGCGTGGAGCTTTTCAGCCGTCTTGGTTGGCCACCTCAGTACAATTGTTTGTAAGCACTCATCCCATCGACCTCTCGCCTCCATCACGTTTGATGGAGGCGTATGTATACGCGCGAGTGCAAGTCCGTGCCCGAAGGTGGGGACAGCCCGAGGAAGGGGATTCTAGTAACTGCGCACGTGCAGTTTCGACCCTGGCTCGACTGGCGTTGACACTCCCACTGGCGTTGTTTCGCAATACCGGCCCATTCTAACTTCGCTTAATGTAACACCTAAGCGAAACATTAGGAAAGAATATACGGGTTAATTCTCAATTATAAGTTAATCATTCAGAACTCTAAGGTCACCATGACGATAGTTATAGCGCGAGAACAAAACGACGACACAGAGACAAGAAGGACATGAGCTACACGAGGTCGCCACCATGAAAATATTTAGTAGAGTAATTTAAGGTCGGCGCTTTATGCTTAACTTTCGCGCCGAAACATTAGCACGTGAAAATCAGTGAGACGTCGCAAATTTCAAGGTCCCTTTGCGCACTTCGGCCATGTTGGTTCAATGAAACTTTCTCCACCTGTTAGGCATTTGTGTCCCTTAGAAAACAATGTGCAGCGCCTACAGCGAGTTAAACAATTACGTACAGCCTATCAGACGCCGTTGAAACCTTCGACTTCACGACGAGCCGGTGGGCGAACTTCTTCGCCCGTA